TAAGTAAGTTTTCCCCAAGATACCCATACTTGTTGTAACACCGTACAATTTAAAACAAATTTTCGCATTTTTAAACACATTTTTCCAAACACATTTATTAACAAAATCCCATTGTAACATATCTTTGTTTCACAAAATATTTCCCAAGATCAAAATACATAAATCCCATGCGTGTGTACAAATCATGCCGGCGCCTTCTCGCGATCATCACTGGTACCTGAAACACATAACACATAACACTGTAAGCATAAAGCTTAGTGAGTTCCCCAAAATACCATACATAACACATACTAGCCAATCGAGGCTATAACTCTGTGGGCCCGTGGGCCCTAACTCTGTGGACCCTCTGGTCCTAGCTCTGTGAACCTTCCTGTTCTAACTCTGATATACACATGACATAAATCACATAAAAAATAATGCAGTGCAACACATCACATAATAGCATACAATAACTTTGTCACATGACTCTAATTACCACTCAAGGTAAAGTATAGTGAGAAGACTCACCTCAGATGTCTCGGTAAATCTCTGACTCGATAGAAATACGATCTAGCCTCCACCTAATCATGTAAAGTAATACTCTCATAAATATAACTCTTAGGACTAGACTCAACCCTCTCTAGGCACCCTCAAAAGGGTAAAATACCATTTTACCCCTCCTTTGGCTCAAAAGCCCTCATTGTTGACCAAACCCTAAAAGTCAACCAAAGTCAAAGGTCAAAATTTGACCCGACTCGTCGAGTACACTTGGGCAACTCAGTGAGTCTACACGTATCCACTAACTCCCTAGTCTCTCTTGACATGTCGAGTCCCCTTCCCCCCCTTGCTCGATGAGTGACACCTAGCATGAATCGCGGGGCTACCCCGACTCAACTCGCTGAGTCTCAAGATCAACTCGGTGAGTTCTGTCTTGAACTCCAATCCTCTAATTCCTCTCTGACTCACTGAGTTATTCCCCCAACTCGGTGGGTCTACTCCCTGAGTGGTTTACGGGAAACCCTAACCCTACTCATCGAGTCTGATCTTTGGACTCAGTGAGTCCATGCCATGCAAAAACTCCATTGACCTCCTGAGGTCAGATTTGTTCCTTAAATCCATAGATCTGACCTTCCCAAGCATGATAATCATGTAAAGTTCAGACCTTGACACTCATATAACATCTAGATGGTCCTACTTGGTGATTTAACCCCAAAAATAACCTCCTAATTCATGGCTCCCAAAATAACCCATAAAGCTCCAAGGGTTAAGGTCTCTGGACCTCTTTGAGTCCAGATCCAAAGCATAAACTCGAGAAAGGACCAATTGCTCCACATATCCATTCTCTAAAGGGGTTAGAAAACCCTAACTCTAAGAATCAACACCAAAAATGAAGAAGGTCTGAATAAATACCTCAAAATGAAGTCTCTGAACTCTGAAATCACCAGATCTGCTCCTCCTACAACCTCATCTTGCCTTGGTCACCTCCTTTTTGCAATCACACCAACAAAATGATCAAAAGTGGCCTCTCCTCCCTCACAAACGCTCTAGATCTCTTAGCATCTCTCTCTGGGGTTTGGTAGCCACAAATGACAGCCCTAAGGGCCTTTAAATAGGTCCCAAACCCGGGAAATTAGGGTTTCATTAAACAGTGTGGACTCGCCGAGTCCGGTCATGAACCCGGATGAGAATTCGCGACCCTACTCGGCGAGTCTAAGCACTAACTCACCGAGTCCCTCTACAAACTTCAAAATAAATGAATAAAATAATATACCTGGGAATCCGGATGTTAAACTTGCTATGTTATGTCATATGGTTTTGATTCAAAAAACTGCATGCTAGAATAGGACTACGGATCTAGGAGGATGCCTTTTTGTGCCTGATATTTGATTCTTAGAATTGCATGCTAGTTAGGGCTAAGGGTCTAGGGAGGATGCCTTATATGCCTGTTGTATGAGCTGTATGCTAGGACTATTTAGTCAGAAGTAGGATGGCCTGTGTAGGTTATGCCTGATTTTGGTTACCCAACGCTCGAATGCTGCTTGCTTTGTGCTATGGGGGTTCTGGCCATCTTCAACTAGCTAAGGAACGAACATCCGCAAGCTAGTTAGGGGGAGGTGGTGGGGACTCCTAGTGCAGCTGATGGCGGAGGGTAGGTCAGAGAGTGACCTAGGGAAGCCTAGGATGAGGTCAGTGGAAAGGGTATTGAAAAAAGGGACTTGGCAAAGTCGAAGCAATCCTTGAGGAAAGTACGGGTAGATGTGGAAGGTAGTATGGGCCCGTACTACTAAATTCAGAGGACCCATACTCGAATCAAGGAGGGCCTAGATGGAACCTGGAAACTTGGAAAATATGTGAGACCTCTAAAAGGTATATGCAACCCTGACAATCGTATGTTTATTTTCAGAATGGTGGTCACACGACATGGAGCAGGAGGTTCAGGATCCGAGTCAGGATCGGGCTCGAGCACAGGATCCGGGCATGTGGATGATGGGTTACGCAAGTTCATCGCATCCGAGATCACGAGGGGTATCCTTGATGCGACGCCGGTTATCTACGGGTCGATCAAGGAAGGGATCATTGAGCTGATGGAGGATCGCCTCAGGGCGTTCAAGAATAACATGGCGACCAACCATACGGGGCAACGCACACTGTCCTTTAAGGACTTCCGAGGGAGTGGTGCACCGGATTTCCATGGGGTGAAGGACCCCATTGCTGCTAGGAGATGGATCGCAGACATCGAGTCTGCACCGCTGACGAGCTTCTGCTCGGAAGGGTCGAAGGTCTGTTTCGTTGCAGGGTGTTTGAGAGACAGGGTCAAAGATTGGTGGAAGTCGGTTGGTGACTCTTTGGGAGCCTCCGCTGTTGAGGCTATGACCTGGTCAAACTTTGTAACCAGATTCATGGAGGAGTTTGTGCCAGCTATGGAGATTCAGCAGCTGGCCAGGGAGTTCTTGGACATGAGATAGACTACGGAGACTGTGGTGGAGATCACCGCCAAGTTCTGGGAGAGGGTATTGCTGGTGCCCCAGTATGCTGGTGATGAGGAAATGAAGAGGACCCACTACCATGACATGCTACGAGCTGACAACCGAGAGCATGTCAGTTTCTCAGCTTGCCCTACCCTGGACTCCATGATTGCCAGGGCTAGGGAAAGGGAGATTGATCTGGAGCACATCCGGAAGAGGAAGGCAGCGGAGGGGCTGATGATGGGGGCTTCGGGGAAGAAGCCCAAGGGATACAACTGTAGGCTGAAAGGCCATTCGGGGCGGGACCGATGTGGGAAATGCGGTCGGTCACACGAAGAAGCTTGTCACACTGGGTCGGGTTCAAGTTGTTATAAGTGTGGCAAGGTTGGACATTTTTGCAGATATTGTACTACCCGTACTCCTGCATTTCTGATATCTTATCTGATTTGCTTTCATTGCAATCAAAAGGGCCATAAAAAGGCCAATTGCCCTAGATTGACAGCAGCAGCAGTGGCACCGATAATGGTGCCGACTCCAGCGACAGCACGGGGTGTGGATGGTCGGAAGGTCAAGTTGGTGGCTCCAATGGTTCGGAGCCGAGCATTTCAGCTGACAACCAAGGAGGCACGCACTACACCCGATGTGGTGACGGGTATGTTTCTTATTTTATGCTTTTATGTTATTTCGTTGTGATTTTGATATATTATGTGCCTTGCTTAGGATTGTTCCTTGTGAACAGTATCCCAGTTCAGTTGTTGTTTGATTCGGGTGCCACTCGATCATTTGTCTCTCTTGCGCTTATCAAGAAGTTTCCAGAGTCGTCAGGCATGTTGTATTGCCCTCTAGAGGTCGAGATTGCGGACGACCGGTCGGTACGAGCGTCGGAGGTCTATTGGGATTGTGTTTTGAGGCTGTTCGAGGAACGATACTTGGTGGACTTGGTTCCCATACCTTTGTGCGGGAACAAGGTCATTATTGGTATGGACTGGCTGAGCCCCAATGGGGGTAGTGATTGACTGCGCATAGCAGTCAGTGCGGATTAGGACCCCTAGTGGGGGAGAGATGGTGGTTCAAGGCAAAAGGTCACAACGAGGACCAGCTTTATGTTCAGCAGTGAGGGCTAGGCGCTACCATCAGCAGGGTTGCACAGGTTATGTCTCCACCATTTGGAGCATATTATTTTTGCCAAGCCTCATAAGCAGGCATATCAAGCACCTACCAAAATATGTAAAAAAAATGAAATTGTATTTGTAAAAGGTGCTAATGTCAATATGCCATAAACTCTTCTAACAAACCCATACACTCAAAATTTAAATTATAAATAACCTGTTGATTTGAACACAAATCTCAACAGGGGCATGTTCCCTTTACACATTCTATATTCAGCATCCTAATGAGACATTCATCCCTACATCCCATGCGCCCATCTAATGAAGGTTTACACTAGCAAACCATGATCTAATAGTCATTTCAAGAACATACATTTTAGCAAACACACTATACGTTAGATCTAATAAATAATAAAACAAATAACCTCATAAATAGTCTGATTTTTACGATTGCGATGCAGATACATGTTTGTCTTTATAAGCTTCCAAGAGAGTTATGGAGGATCTGCAACAATGGCATGATTAATGAGAGATGGAAGTTCAAGCAAACAAAAGATTTTCAGGTCAACAAGTACCTATTAGCTGCTTTTGTCCTGATTGACTTGAATTCAACTTTTGGGTATTATCTTGGATATTCTTTCCAGAGCATGATAGACATTGACAACATAATCCAACTTTTGTTGGCATATCAAACAAGGCAGTGTTTATTGTGTGTAGTGCAAGACAAAATCATAAAACCAAACCAATGAGTCGGTCTGAAGTGACTTACTGATAAGAGTATGCAATTCAACACATGGGATACCACCAAATCCACAGGTTAGATTTCTGCCACGACAACACCAGGTTCTCCATGCTGAAGCAAATGCAACTGAGTTAACTTTTTCTTAAGAAAAAATAAAAAAGCAAATGCAGATAAACTTACAATTCCAAGACCAAGCTCCAATTTTCATGGGCCTAAACGGTCGGATTTCGGCTGACCTAGAAGCGTGCAAACCGAGAGTGCAACACCCATTATACCAACAACTCCACATGTATGCCTTGCTTCAGCAACAATATCAGAATGAGGAAGACCAGAACCAGCTGCTGCTCCTGCAATCTAAAAATTCGAAAGGAATAGAAATAATATCATAGCAAGGGATGTGGAGATCATGTATCTTGGTATGCATTCATGTTATGGTTTATTTTCCTATCATGTATTTGCAAATAGATTATAACAGAGGATAAACCTTGTGGAAAAGAATGGCTCCAGCCAAACCTCTTCGCCTAGCTATGCCCCGTGGGGGTGGCAAAGCGCAATCATCTCCAACAATCACCATCTACAAAAGTACTAACAAATATATATTTGCTAACTAAGAGTGGCATAGTATAGCTGCATGTCAATTATATCTATATGCACTCACCTCTACTTTGTAACCTTCAGACTTTGCTTCCTCAGCTGCCAATCCAAAATTTAATCGGTCACCAGTGTAGTTCTGTAGATCAAATATCTTTCAGTTAAATTCAATCCAAAAACATCATTCAACAAAAACTCCTCCTCACCTTGACAATTAGGAGACATCCTATTGGCCCAGTCACAACTCTTATGCCCTGCAAAACGCAAATGCAATTGGATTGGATTTCCATAATTCCATAAAGTGATCCAGCCAATGCATTCACAAAACTTCCTTTTCGTTTTGTTTTTCATGTTTCAGTTAGGATATTGTGACTGATAAGTATATAGTACGTCGGAGCAATATTTCTTTAAATGAAAAACCTAGCGCATTTCAAACGTAAAATTGGGTTCAATTTTGCTACAAATTCCACACTAACAGTAGTCTAGTAGAGTATCAAGTTGAGAAGTAATCTCCAACCAGAAAAAAATAGATAACTTTTTGTAAAACAATTTGAATTTGAGATTCACATCAGCCATACAGTCACAAACTGCACTAAAATCAATTACAGTAAAGAATATTAGAAGCATCTTCCTCACCAGTTGCTTCAGATAACTCCAACTCCTCGTTTATATCAACATTCGACTTTTCTTGTGGAATTGAACAATCCCCAAAGCTTTTATCCATGTTGTCGTTACAAATCCTTCACATTATAAAATTTGAAGTATTTAGACACATCCCAATATATATATTGCTAGATGGAATTGCTTCACTCGTGATTTGAAGGACTAACAGCTTGGCTCTAATATTAGGCACACAGGGGCATTTTTGTTCGCAAAAATATGTCTCATAAGTCTTTAGGAACAATATTGAACCTCACCGAAAATTGAATCATTTTCTTCAATTTCAATCAACGATTCCAACATAAAATTATGAAGATTGAATGATAACAACACAAAGTGTATTCACATGTAATAACACAAAAGTTAGAGAATGTGATATACGTAGGTCTTACCTAACATCACATGTTCATCGCTTGTGAATTCTTCCTTGTTTCTTCCAGGATCAAAAGATGAGCTCCCATTATGAAAAGAACATGAAAGGGAGAAAACTATTTACACAGATGTTCAATATTTGTGCCAAATGTAGAAAAGAATATGAAAGGGAGAAAACCATTTACACATATCTATACATAAACATTAAAAAACTGATTTCAGCATAGATGTAATGTTTCTTTCACCAAACATACATCTGATTTCAAAACGAAAAAAAAAGATAAAGGGCTAGAAGAATACCAACAAGGGGAGGAGAAGGGATGTTCGATGAAAGGGTTGGAGGCAAAAGTATTCATATATGGAGCAACAGAATCTGTGGTTGGTGCTGCTTGATGCTAGAGAAGAACACGCCTGGTGGGCGGTGGAAGCACTGCTTAAGGCGACGGTGACTTAGGGTGTCCAACGGAAGGGTTTTTTGACCAACTTAGGGTGGTCGGCGAAAGAGAACATGAAAAGGATAAGGTATGGTTGAATCTGATTCAACTATAGATTTCAAAGCGGCCATTGAATTTGCAGAGCTTCATAAATTAGGTCAAGGAAAGGAAACTCACGATCAAATCTATTGGGTCTTCTCAATGCTCCATCAATCGCATCGATCTGGTTTGTTGCCCCAATTAAAACCACTTGACCCCTTGAATCCAAACCATCCATTAATGCAATAAGAGTTGAGACAATGGAATTGTGAATCTGTTCTTTTTTGCTTGATCTCACAGGGGCAAGTCCCTAGCATATGTGATTAGTGAATAATAGAAAGAAAAAATAAAGATATAAGTGAAACATAAGGCGGTGATATGTGGCCACAGGAGGAAGCAAGGTGTGGGCAGAAAGCGGAATGGGGTTGCAAAAGAGAGAGCGACTGACCTTTAGTCAGCTAATTGAGGTGGTGATGTAGTATAAGTTAAAAGAATGGGCGGCCAGAGCAAACCCACCTAGAAGCGCTCATATCTCTTCAATTGAGCCTTGGATCTCCTCTTCGCTCAGAAGACCTGATCACGGATTAACACACCAGGTCAAGAAATCCCGTTTTTTTTCTTTTCTTCTTCTTCTATCTTCTATTTTTCATGTTGCTGACTAACTGATACATCATCGGAATCATTAGAAGCATTATCCAAAAACTCATACCCAACATTGTAGTGAACTATCGGTCTAAATCAAAATGGAAGAGAATGTTGCTTAATTTTTGTCTGATAACTATAAAGAAGAAGACGAAGGCCCTAGGGATTTTTCTTGCTAATTGGAAGAGGCGGGGGGTTTTAATTTTTTTGGGATTCAATAAGCGGGTGAAATCCCGCCTTAAAAACGTGTGTTTCATTAAAATGCTATAGAGCGACACATTTAGACGATGCACATTTTATGAAAGGCGCCCTCCGCATTTCCTTTTTTTTCTTTTTTGACACTAATTTTAGAATACGCACAAATGTGTGTCCACTATCCTTCAAATTATGCAAAATTGACATTATTTTTTAGGGCACACACAAATGTGCGTCCTCTATCTGCGAGTGTCATTGTTTGCGCGTCATTAAAGGGATGTTTTCTAGTAGTGAGAGTAAAGTCCCAAAAACTCCTTGCAGAAACCATGTGTGTGTGTGTGATGCACTGCTACACCGCCGGCTCCTTCCTCTTCGACGAAGAGGTACCTGAAACCAAAACCAAAACTGTAAGCACAAAGCTTAGTGAGTCCCCCCATCATACCACATACCATACGATATCATCGTTATCTTTCAACCGGTAACCTTCATCAGTATCCTTCAACCGGTAACCTTCATCGGTTTCTTTCAACTGGTAACCATCATCGGTATCTTTCAACCGGTAATCAACATTGGTATCTTTCGACAGGTATTCGTCATCGGTATCTTTCAACCGGTAACTAGGGACTATTTCACCCCTACCACTAGCATACAATCAACAGATATAAACAACAGTCAGGCATAACCCAACCAAGATAATTATCACAAAGAACATTATCTTCTAAATACCCCTTTTTGGTGGGCCGTCATTGTGGCCTTAGACCCACCCCTACTGGAAGATAACTCACCTCAATATCGTGCAGTGTTTGAATTATCCTCGGCGCATAAGTCGACTCCCTATGACTCCTCGATTCCTTTAATGAATTGTAGAAGGTGCACAAAATCGGGTTCCCTTGGCCTCTACTTGCTTCCTCAAGCTTTTCTCCTTCCTTCTTAAGACCACAAGCACCAAAATCCCCCAACAAGGCTTAGATTGCTTCAATAACGGCTAGGGTTTCAATGAGAGATGTTCGGGGAGCATAAGAGACATTATGGTCGACATAAAATTGTTTAGATAGGGTGCAAACCCTTGGATTAGGCTTTTTTTCTAGACAACGACTACTCATCGAGTCCGGGACCAGACTCGTCGAGTCCACGGCTTAAACCCCGCGTCCCATTCTGCTTCTACTCGGCGATTTGGTCCTTCAACTCGCCGAATTCAAGGCCAAAAATGCAAACTACTTAGATAAAAATAAAAAGAAATACATACCAAGAACCAGGTGCTATAAATCTCCCCCACTTATTTTAGACTTCTTCCTTGAATTCTACTGCTCGTTCCTGAAACAGCTCTGGGTAGTGCTCCATCATCTCGTCCACCGGCTGCCAAGTCCATTACGTGCCCTTCCGGTGCTGCCATTACACCTTCACGAGTTTCACTCTCTTGTTCCTCAGATCCTTCGACTTCCAGTCAAGGATCGCCATAGGTCGTTGAATGTAGTTCAGGATGCCATCAACCTGAATGTCCTCCAAGGGCACCATTTCCGAGTCGTCCACCAGGCATTTTCACAGCTGGGAAACGTGGAAAGTGATGTGGATCTGACTGAGTTCGACTGGTAGATCCAGCCTATACGCCACCTTCCCCACCTAGGCTATAACCCTAAACGGTCCAATGTACCTGGGTCCCAACTTGCCCCGTTTCCTGAATCAGATAACGCCCTTCCATGGCGACACCTTCAGGAGAACAATATCCCCGACCTAGAACTCCAGGTCTGATCGGCGCTTATCGGCATAAATTTTCTGCCTACTCTGAACCTGTTGGATCCTCTCTTCCATCTTGAGCAATACTTCGGTGCTCCCCATTACCCTCTAGCCAACCTCGCCCCAACATATCGGGGTCTTACACTTCCTCCAGTACAACATCTTGAAGGGAGGACGATTGATACTCGCGTGATAACTATTATTATAGGAGAACTCCGCCAAAGGGAGGTAGATATCCTAACTACCTCCGAAGTCTAACACGCATGCTCGCAGCATATCCTCCAGAGTCTAGATGGTCTGCTCACTCTGACCATCCATCTGAGGGTGAATGGCGGTGCTAAATACAGAAGAGTACCCAGCTCATCACCAGAACTCACACTTGGAGAACTTAGCATACAAGTTCTCCCTTCTCAAAGTCTCCAGAACCTCTCACAGATGATCCTCATGCTCCTCCTGCGTATTGGAATAGACCAAGATGTCATCGATGAAAACTATTATGGACCGATCCAACATCGGTCTGCACACGCAGTTCATGAGATCCATGAACATGGCGGGAGCATTGGTGGGCCAGAAAGGCATCACCACGAACTCATAGCGGCCATAGCATATCCGGAACGTCGTCTTCTATACATCCTCCTCTATGACCCTCATTTGATGATATCCCGAGCGCAGATCAATCTTGGAGAACCAAGATGCTCCCTGTAACTGGTCAAAGAGGTCATCAATCCTCGGGAGTGGGTAATGGTTCTTCACTGTTACCTTATTCAGCACCCGTTAATCTATACACATCCGATGCGACCCGTCCTTCTTCTTCACAAACAAAATCGGGGCTCCCTAGGGTGAACTGCTCGGTCTAATGAATCCTTTTTCTAACAACTCCTATAGTTCTGTAGACAACTCCTGCATCTTAGGAGGAGCCAACCGATACGGTGCCTTGGCTATCGGAGCCGCACCAGGGACCAGGTCAATTCTGAATTCCACCTGCCTCTCTGGAGGTACCACGGGCAACTCCTCGGGGAATACGTCCTCAAACTCTTGTACTACGGGCACATCACCCACCGTTGCCCTACCCACCTCCCGCAAATTTGATCAAAGTCAAAAATTCAAATTTGGTCGACACAACTAAGTACGTTGGGCATACCATGCCTGTATGTGGGGAATACTTAGCCCTTGACCAAAACTGTGAAGTTAACCTAGTATGCTCTGCGTACCAATCTATACACCCAGCGTATGGAGCTCTCCATTAATCCTTCTATTAAGAACTATTTCCTTTATACTCTCTCATCAAATTCTGATACCCGACCCTAAACTAATTTCCTTTACCATAAAGTTTTTAGTTTTATGGTGTTGCATGGCTAGCAAGTGCCCAAAAGCTAAAACTCCAACTTCTTAACTCATTAAGATACCTTAACACTTTCATGGAGTGATAGGAAGGTCCAAGATCACATTTTTATCACTCAAACTACCCTAAAATGTCCAGAATGTTAACTCATTTGGTCTAGGGTAGCTCATACTCATTTGGTCTAGGGTAGCTCATACACATAGATGTGTGTGGACCCTTCAAAACCGCCACAAGGGATGCTAACCACTTCTATGTGAATTTTACTGATGATTACAGCAAATATGGCTATGTCTAATTAATCAAGCA